TCCTGCTGAGGACCCCAGGGAGGAAAGAGGGAGGTTAAGGTTTTCCCTGAAAATGGTCCCCAGAGCAAAGATTTTACCTTGTCTTACCCCACAGCTGAGTTCAAATGCAGACCGGGGCAGTTCCAGTGCTCCACTGGGATCTGCACTAATCCAGCCTTCATTTGTGATGGAGACAATGACTGCCAGGACAACTCAGATGAAGCCAACTGTGGTACTTTCTCCATTTGTGCCGTTTCACTTCATCATTGCAGTAGAGCAGAGATGTAGCATGTCAGCTTTTGACCATCTTGCCCCCTTCCCAGATATCCACGTCTGTCTGCCCAGCCAGTTCAAATGCACCAACACCAACCGCTGCATCCCCGGCATTTTCCGCTGCAATGGTCAGGACAACTGCGGTGATGGCGAGGATGAGAAGGACTGCCGTAAGTGGGGAGCTGTTAAGCATGTTACTAACAGGAAGTGTGCATGGTAAAGGGGGTGAGGAGTTCAGTGCTGCATCAGACCCATGTCTTTGGGTATTGGCTTCTCTGCAGGCTGACTTTTGGGTGGTCCTGCCCCTGGGCATGGAGTTTTCTCCTTATCTGTGGTCTGCACAGAGCCTCTGTCCACTGTCATCCTGTTGGCCCTAGAGACACTTGTTTCCTAGTGGAAACAAAGTCCTTAAATCCCTCATAATTACAAGTTCAGTATTTGCTGTGGATTTGCACTCAGCCTATTGCACAGCTGAGGGATCTTGTGGCTTCTGTCCTGTCTCTCTGCAGCTGGTCAAGTCTCTTGGGGCCACCACAGGGCTCCACTCCCCTTCTCTCTTGTGCACCTGGTCACCAAGCACGACGAGACACTTATTGTGATTCCCAGAGCATCTGCAAGCCTCTCTGCTCTCTGGGGCAGTTTTTGTGGGGTGGTGGCGACCAGAACCCTGCTTGCCCAATGCCTCTCCTGACTCTGCTTCTCTCTCCTGCAGCGGAGGTGACTTGTGCCCCCAACCAGTTCCAATGTGCGATCACCAAGCGCTGCATCCCCCGCGTCTGGGTGTGTGACCGGGACAATGACTGTGTGGATGGCTCAGATGAACCTGCCAACTGCAGTAAGAAGCCTGCGCAGAGGGGGGGGTGGGTCTGGTCACACCGAAACCAGGAGCTTCCATTTGTTTGTCTTCCCTGTGGGATGGCAGGTCCCTGCTCAGTCCCTGCAAGTGTTGCAGTTGGCTCCAAGCTGCTGGCATAGGGGCTGTGTTCATCTGCCCTGCAGAGAAAGAAATGTGTGTGGCCAATGCTAACCCCACCTGCCCTCCTGTATCCATGTCATCTTGTTTCTTCCCACCAGCACAAATGACATGTGGTGTGGATGAGTTCCGGTGCAAGGACTCAGGCAGGTGCATCCCAGCGCGCTGGAAGTGCGACGGGGAGGATGATTGCGGGGACGGATCTGATGAGCCCAAGGAGGAATGCGGTGAGTAAGGCTGGGTCGGAGGGAGGCTGGCAGAGAGCAGCACTGCCCGCCTTGCTCTCTGGTGTGCCTATCCCTCCCCATATGCAGAAGCATTGCTGATGCCTTTTCCTGCCTCCTTCTCCCAGATGAACGCACCTGTGAGCCCTACCAGTTCCGCTGCAAGAACAACCGCTGCGTGCCGGGTCGCTGGCAGTGTGACTACGACAATGACTGTGGGGACAACTCGGATGAAGAGAGCTGCAGTATGTGCTGCCTTTGAGCCTTTGCTATCCCGGGTGCCGGCTGCGCTGGAGAGGGGAGTGGTCCAGGTCCCTCCAGTCCCTCTGCCTGCCTATGGTCCCAGCTATGGGGGAGCATCAGGCTGGCTGGGGCTAAGGGCCAGGAAGTGCAGGGAGCCCCTGGACAGAAAGCACCTGACTCCAGGGTTCTGGTCAGCCTGGTCCCACAGCCAGGGCTTAGCTGCTGGCTGTCCTGAGGAGAGGCCCTCACTGGGACAGGTAAAAGGGAGGAGGTGACCACAACACCCTCCCCAGCAGGCCATTGCCCTGTGCTTTAGCCCCAGCCTGGCAGACAGCACCCTATGAAATGGTTTGGCCTGGGAAGTTGATGGGGACACACTGAGACTCTGGGATGGGAGCTGTGACACCACCTGAACCCAGGTCACAAACCTGGACCTGGACCAGTGTGTGGGAAGGCAGCTGCTCACTAGAAGCCATGGCAGACAGTCAAATTGCTGCCCCTTAATGAGTTACCACATGTTAATGGAGCTGTGCCAGCACTCGCCCTGCTCAGTTGCTGAGGATTGTGACTGTGTGGTGGATGAGACAGTTCTTGGGGCTCTGCTGTGGGCAGGAGCTGGTCTTATCCCTCCAGAGCTGCCCATGGGATAGCACCAGGGCCTGGGCAGCCAGCTGCAGTGGCCTGGGCAGAGCCAGACCCTCCTCCCAGTACCCACCCCAGGTCCCTCTGTCTCCCTGCAGCTCTCTAGGGTGCAACTTTTTTTGTCTTTTCTGTTGATTTCATGTTGTGTTTTTGAGTTTGTGCCATTTCACTTCATCTTACGTTTTTCTCCATTTTCACACTGTCGTTATGGGGCACACAGAGGTAGGTTCCTGCCAAAATCTTTTAATGCCATGTACAGTCTTTCTAAAGTAAATGAAGACAATAAATTCTAGGTGAGGGCAGAAGGGTTGGGACTGGACAACCCAGGCAGATTTACTGAGCATCAGCACGAGCACCTCCCTCCTCTGGAGCCACAGTCAGGGAGCGTCTGACCCTGCTGCCTCCACTACCAGGGCCTGTGCATGGCTCATACTTGGCTCCAAAATCTGTCCCCGCCTTGACCCTTCCTGCTCCATCTGGGCACCCCCTGCCCCTCTTTCCCCTACAGTCCTGTCAGCTTCCGCACTGTGGCTAGAGGGACTGCCTGCCCTGACATTTCTGACACCAGGGGCGATGAGGAGGGGAGGGATCCCGAGAGCTGTCCTGGGTGGGTGGGCAGATGAGTTGGGCACCACTGATGTATTGAGCTGCAAGGGGGAGTCCATCCCCATGCCCTGTGAGGGTACATGGGTGTGCCAGCTCTGCCAGACCTGGCCAGGGCACCACTGCCTTCCTCGTGCCTGTAGCTGCTAGTGGGACAGCAGGAGCTGTGGAACTAGTGCTGCCTTCGGTGGAGAATGCCTTGGGGACACGTGCAGCTGGGAAGCTGCCAGGAGCAACTCTGTATTGCCATAATACCCTCAAAAACCCCAGTTCCCCACAGGGAGCTGGTAGCCCTGGATGGGAAGGGAGCTGGAAGGTGGTATCAGCCATGCCTCTCTAGTAGTTCCCCTGGCTCTGCTTGCACCCCACCCTGTTCCCAGTGTCACTAGACATGTGTCTGTGTCAGTCTGTGACCCCTAAGCTGTTGGCCAGGGACAGCTTCTGCCCTTGCAGCCCTGGCTGCAGCCCATTCTCAGGGTGACACCCCATCTTCTCTGTCCCCAGCACCCCGGCCCTGCTCGGAGAGTGAGTTCTCGTGTGCCAACGGCCGCTGCATCGCTGGCAGGTGGAAGTGCGATGGGGACCACGACTGTGCAGATGGCTCTGATGAGGTGAGGTACCAAGAGCTGGGGCTCCCTGCCAGCACCAACCCTGCACGTCCCAGTCTTCCGGTGATCCCGGTCCCTGCTGCCAAGGGAGGGCTGAGAGCCTGGTCCAGCAGCAGTCACAGGACAGGAGGCTGCCACAGTTGGGTCTGTCCCTCCTGACCACTGTCTCTTGCCCTTCCCTTGCAGAAAGACTGCACACCGCGCTGTGAATTCGACCAGTTCCAGTGCAAGAATGGACACTGCATCCCCATGCGCTGGCGTTGCGACGCTGATGCAGACTGCATGGACGGCACTGATGAGGAGAACTGTGGCACTGGTGGTAATGTGGCTCCCTCCAGGCTTGTTGCCTTCCCCCCCATCCTCTTGTCTCCTGTGTCCCTGCTGTGCATAGGTCAGCAGTGCTCCGCCCAGCCCTGAAGTGTGCACAGACATGTATCCGAGCCCTGGAGAGCCACCAGCTATGCTGGAAATTGGGAGCTGTGGCCCACACTGGTCTTCTAGCAGTGAGGCAGCACTGGCTGATGTGTCTTCTCCTGCCTTATGCTGTTGCAGTTCGCACATGCCCTCTGGATGAGTTCCAGTGCAACAACACGCTGTGCAAACCCCTGGCCTGGAAGTGCGATGGGGAGGACGACTGCGGGGATAACTCGGATGAAAACCCTGAGGAGTGCTGTGAGTGACACCACGTTGGCCTTCCCACTCATGGTCCGGCCCCTGCCTGGCCCATGTCTGCTGCAGGGCCAGCAGCCTGCCCAGGGCACCCGCACGCTGGGGAGGGGTGACAGTCCTGGCACTTGGGCTCTGCTGTGGGTACCCAGGGGGCTATGGGCACCTCTGGCAGCTCCATACATACCCTTCTAGATGGGTCCTCCTGGGGGTGGCCAATGGGGCCAAGGGGGCAGGATGTGACTGGTCAAGAGAGGGGAGATGCAGAGGCGCTGAGCTGGGCCCACACTGGTCTTCTAGCAGTGAGGCAGCACTGGCTGATGTGTCTTCTCCTGCCTTATGCTGTTGCAGTTCGCACATGCCCTCTGGATGAGTTCCAGTGCAACAACACGCTGTGCAAACCCCTGGCCTGGAAGTGCGATGGGGAGGACGACTGCGGGGATAACTCGGATGAAAACCCTGAGGAGTGCTGTGAGTGACACCACGTTGGCCTTCCCACTCATGGTCCGGCCCCTGCCTGGCCCATGTCTGCTGCAGGGCCAGCAGCCTGACCAGGGCACCCGCACGCTGGGGAGGGGTGACAGTCCTGGCACTTGGGCTCTGCTGTGGGTACCCAGGGGGCTATGGGCACCTCTGGCAGCTCCATACATACCCTTCTAGATGGGTCCTCCTGGGGGTGGCCAATGGGGCCAAGGGGGCAGGATGTGACTGGTCAAGAGAGCGGAGTTGCAGAGGCGCTGAGCTGGGCATGGGGCTGGCAGTGGGGTGGGGTCGCAGGGACTGAGGGGGGCAGGGGGCTGGGTGAGAAGAGGGCTGACCCTCCTGCAGTTGGCCCAGCCACCGGGCGATTGTTTTTGCTTCAGTCTCTTTGCTTTAGTCTCCGGAGCCCGCTCGCCCTCGTGGGACAGGCCTCCCTGGAGAGCGGGCAGAGGCTGAGCAGCAGCTCGTGGCAAGAGTTACAGCCTGGCTATGGCGTCTCCTTTCACCGTCACCATTTGTTTCTGTTTGCTGGTGCAGTGAAATTCCAGTGTCCTCCCAACAGACCGTTCCGCTGCAAGAACGACCGGGTATGTCTGTGGATCGGTCGACAGTGTGACGGCATTGACAACTGTGGAGACAACACGGATGAGAAGGACTGTGGTGAGTGGGGCTGCCCGTGGGCATTGCTGTGTGCCTGGCCAGGGCAGGGCCATGGGTCACTGCTGCCCTTAGGCTGGTCCTTGCAGAGCCCTGGGTTTAGCCCAGAAGTTGGGGTTTGCTTTGCCCACTCCTCCTTCCCAAAACGGGGTCGTAGCAGGCAGTCGGTGGGCACATGCAGCCTGGGTCTGGTCCCTTCCTGTGCCATTCACACCCTGGAGCTCCTGGGGCCTGGGTGCCTGGGGACTCAAGACTGTAACAGCCGCTGCCCATGCTCCCACAGAGTCACCCACAGCCAAGCCCAAGAGCTGCAGCCAGGACAAGAATGAGTTCCTCTGTGAGAACAAGAAGTGCATCAGTGCCAACCTCCGCTGCAACTTCTTTGATGACTGTGGAGATGGCTCCGATGAGGAGTCCTGCTCCCATGGTGGGTGGGGAGCTGGGGTCTTGAGGGGTTGAGGGCAAGCACTGGGGAAGCTGCCAAGGCACAGGTGCTGACTGCATGTCCCACCCCAGACCACAAGTCGTATGACTGCAAGACCAACACCACGATGTGTGGAGACGAGGCCCAGTGCATTCAGTCACAGTCCACCACATACTGCTCATGTCGCAGAGGCTTCCAGAAGCTGCCAGACAGGAATTCCTGCCAAGGTACATTCTGCTGCTGCTGAGAGGGCTTGGGATTGGACTGTTGGCTTTACAGTTCTTTTTGCCAGTAAGATGTGTGTGCCCATGGAGTGGCTGGGTTATCAGAAATTGTGTCCTTGGGGCACAGACGTGGGGAATGAGGAGAGATGGGGTCTCCAAGCCCTAGTGTGGAGCAGCCTCTTGAGAGGGCCTGGACCTGTTCATGTGCCTCAGCACACCCTCCTGGTCTTCCCCTGACTTCCATCTCCTGCTCCCCAGACATCAACGAGTGTCTGCGCTTTGGGACCTGCTCCCAGCTCTGCAACAATACCAAGGGCTCCCACGTCTGCAGCTGTGCCAAGAACTTCATGAAGACAGACAATATGTGCAAGGCGGAAGGTCAGGAGGGAATAGAAGTGGCACAGAATCTGTGTGCCTGTGCTGCCCTGCAGGACCCAGTGCTCTTCTCTCACTGCTCCTTCTCCCCCTGCACCTCTGCCCACCCTTACTCTGCCCGTGCCATCAATCTGTCCTTCCTTGAAACAGCAAACCCAAAGGGTGTGCTGAGCTCCCAGTGGCCCCGCTCTGTGCCCCACTGTGGATTCTCAGCCCACACCAACAGCTCCTCCTCTGCAGGCTCAGAGCACCAAATCCTGTACATTGCGGACGACAACAAGATCCGGAGCATGTACCCCTTCAACCCCAACTCAGCCTATGAGCCGGCCTTCCAGGGCGACGAGAACGTGCGCATCGATGCCATGGACATCTACGTCAAGGGCAACAAGATCTACTGGACAAACTGGCACACAGGCAGGATCTCATACCGGGAGCTGCCTGCCTCTTCTGCTGCCTCCACCGCCTCCAACCGCAACCGGCGCCAGATCGACGGTGGTGTCACCCACCTGAATGTGAGATCTGCCAGGGGCACGGCAGGAGGCACTGAGGCTGAGCTGCCAGCATCCTCTGTCCTCACCTCTCCCCCCTTTCTGCCCTTCACAGATCTCAGGGCTGAAGATGCCACGGGGAATTGCCATCGACTGGGTTGCTGGGAACATCTACTGGACAGACTCAGGGCGGGATGTTATTGAGGTGGCACAGATGAAAGGCGAGAATCGCAAGACACTGATCTCAGGCATGATTGATGAGCCTCATGCCATCGTAGTCGACCCACTTAGAGGGTGAGAGATGCAAGCCCTTTCTCCCTTCCCTCTGCCCAGCCTGCACCCAGGCTTCTCTCTCCAACAAGCTCATCCATGGTGGAAGCTCCCTGTCCCCCAGCATCACCCTCTGCATCAGCTCACATTGCTGTGCCTTGGAGTCAGCTGGCTCATTGGTGTCACATCAGTGACTCTGGGACTCTGGGGAGACCGTGGGAGGCTTTCCCCACCAATGGGGCATTGGTCTGTCCTGCTCTTCCCCTCCCTGCTCTCCTATGGGAATGACCTGCCTGTGTCCTTTACAGGACTATGTACTGGTCAGACTGGGGCAATCACCCCAAGATTGAGACGGCTGCTATGGATGGGACATTGCGTGAGACCCTGGTGCAGGACAACATCCAGTGGCCAACAGGTGAACAAAGATTGGTACCAGGAGGGACATGAGGAGTGGTAAAAGCCTTGACAGGAGGATGTCTCCCCTTGTGTTGGGGTGGTTTGACTCCAAGCCCTGTGGCAGGAGTGTGTAGGGGCAACAAGGGAGCTGCTCTACTGGTCACTTGGTCAGGAGGGGTTGGGGGTGGTCAGGAGGCCTATACCTCACGGGGGAGGGGGGTGTGTGTCCCCTCAGGCCTGGCCGTGGACTACCACAATGAGCGGCTGTACTGGGCCGACGCCAAGCTCTCCGTCATCGGCAGCATCCGGCTCAATGGCACTGACCCAGTTGTGGCCATTGACAACAAGAAGGGTAAGCAGTGCCCAAGACCCAACAGAGCAGCAGGGAGGAAAGGGACCTGCCAGGGGACAGTGTCCCTGGTGTGGGGTCCCAGCACTGCCCAGCTCCCAGCTCTCCAGGGCTCCTGGCCTGGGTCGTGCTGCAGAACAGACCCCAGCCCTGAGGCAACGATGCTCAGCAGACAGCAGCAAGGGCGGGTTTTCCTCATTAAATGCTGTGCTGGTACTGCTGTCTCCCCAGCACTGTGCCTCTTGTAGTGGGAGGCCCTAGCCTCAAATCTGTCTAAAATTCCTGATAAGCTCTGCCCAAGGTAGCGAGCAGCTGCCATGTCTCCTCTGCCTGCACATGTCCCTTCTGCACTTCCCCAGGGCTGAGCCATCCTTTCAGCATTGACATCTTTGAGGACTACATCTATGGTGTCACCTACATCAACAACCGCATCTTCAAGATCCACAAGTTTGGGCACAAGGCTGTCACCAACCTAACATCTGGCCTCAACCATGCCACCGATGTTGTGCTCTACCACCAGTACAAGCAACCAGAAGGTGTGTGCTGGGCCTGGGACCCTTGGCCTGCTTTGGAGTGGGAGGGAGGTGCCTGGGTTGCTGTTGTGGGGTGCCAGAGGGTAAGGGGAACACTGGCAAAACTTGGGGCAAGAGGGAACACCCAAAGTGGGGGGCTTCAGATGGGAAGAGCAGGGGGGGTTAGTGGGAAGAGGAAAGAACTGGGGGGAGCCAGCTGTGATTGCGAGCTGTCATATGGCAACCCCAGGGCATCAGGGGACTGGCACAGGGCTTGGGCAGCTGTAGGGTCCTGGGAGATGCCCTAAAGCTGTTGAGAAGTCATTGTTCACTAGGAGGCCTGTGGGTCACCCCATCATCCTCACCCTGTATTGTCCCCTCCCCTCTGGCAGTGACCAACCCATGTGACCGCAAGAAGTGTGAGTGGCTCTGCCTCCTCAGTCCCAGCGGCCCCGTCTGCACCTGCCCCAATGGCAAGCGCCTGGACAACGGCACCTGCGTGGTTGTTCCCTCGCCCACCATCTCCCCTGTTGGTAGGTGATCTGGAGGAGGAAGAGGAGAGGGCTTCTTCCTGGCATGGTCCCGCTCACCTCCATCCCTCCCTCCCTCCCAGTGCCCACCACCGACACCTGCGACCTTGTCTGCCTGAACGGCGGCAGCTGCTTCCTCAACGCCCGCAAACAGGCCAAGTGTCGCTGCCAGCCACGCTACAATGGGGAGAAGTGCCAGATTGACCAGTGCTCACACTATTGCCAGAACGGGGGCACCTGCGCTGCCTCCCCGTCAGGTGAGGCTGCTGGGGTCGGGGCTGGTCCTGGGCAGACAGATCAACAGATGGGGAGCACACTAATGGCTCTTTTTCTCAGGCATGCCGACCTGCCGCTGCCCCACCGGCTTCACGGGACCCCGGTGTGGCCAGCAAGTGTGCACTGACTACTGCCGGGACAACGGTGCACCGTCAACCAGGGCAACCAGCCCAACTGCCGCTGCCTGCCTACCTTCATCGGGGACCGCTGCCAGTACCGTGAGTGCTGCCTGCTCGGGGTGAGGGTGGCTGAGGATGGTGCCTGGGAGGTCAGACTGCTGGATCTGCTCTTGTGGGGGATGTTCTCTGGGGACCCAGGGTGGTGCGGTGCTCCATGGGGGACCAGAGATACAAACAGCCCTCTGGAGGAGCCAGTGGTCTGAGGGGCCAGTGTGGGGTTGCCCACCCTGACCCTACCATCTCCTGCAGGGCAGTGCTTCGACTACTGTAAGAACGAGGGTGTCTGCCAGATGACAGACAGTGGCATCAAACACTGCCGCTGCCCTCCGCAGTTTGCGGGCTCCCAGTGCCAGGATGACAAATGCTCCCGGTGCCAGAAGGGCGAGTGCAGCATCAACAAGCAGACCGGAGAAGTATCCTGCATGTAGGTGGCAGGGATGTGGAACTCAAGGGAGGAAGAGGGGGTGGTGGGCACAAGGACCTAAGTAAAAGCTGGGAACTGGCCACAGCTGAGAGATGCTGGGTCAGTAATTCAGGGAAGCTCAGAAATGTGGGAGACCTCAGGGCCCAGAGAGGAGGTGGTGGGGGTGTCTTTCCCTCAAGCCCATCCTGATGTCTCAGCAGTTGTGGGGATGGCACAGCTGTGAACTGTGCCAGAGAGATGAGTTAATGGGGGGACACAGAGCAGGCCATGGGTACATGTGTGCCTGATCCTCTCTTCCCTGCAGCTGCCCAGGTGGCAAGATAGCACCCAGCTGCCTGACCTGCGACAATTACTGCCTGCATGGTGGTACCTGCTCCATCAGTGACAAGACACAGCTGCCCGAGTGCCTGTAAGCTGGGCTGAGGGCTGGGGGGGCAGTGGGGGCCTACATATGGGCTATTTGCCCCACCAGGCAGAAGGAGCACAGACCCTGATCTGTGCCCCTTCCCGCTGACCCTCAGGTCTGTGCCTCACCTCTCATTTCTCCTCCCCGCATGCTCTTCTGCCCCCTCTAACCCTGGTGCTCTCCCTGCGCTCTCAGGTGCCCAGTGGGGATGACAGGGACACACTGTGAGAACTTCACTGTCAGTGAGCAGCAGAGCAACCGTACGTATGGGGTAGTCTTGCCCGAGGGGCATTGCTGGGCCTGACACCAAACCAGAAGGGTGAAGCCAGGGCTGCCTGGTGCCCCTGAGCAGCCCCTGAACCCTGTTACTCGGTGGAGAGGGGACAGGTCCAGCCTGAGCTGTGGGACCCACCACTGCCCAGGGCTCGAGGCATGTAGGCATTGGCCCATGTGCACACTGTCACTGTACCTGTACCTCTCCTCCCACAGGAACCGCCTCCATTGTCATCCCCATCCTGCTGCTGCTGATCCTTCTCACCGTTGTGGCTTTTGTCTGGTACAAGTGGAGGATTAAAGGGTGAGTCCAGGCCATTGGAGTCCAGGAAGGAGTGTTACCCAGCCAGGACAGAAACTCTCCTTGCAGGCCTTGAAAGTCTTGATTATGCAGAACAAACAAGCAGGACCACTGGTGGGTTGGGGGCCCCGTTCACTGCACCCCATGTTGCTGGCACTGACGCTCCATCTCGCACCCTCTACAGCGCCAAGGGCTTTCAGCACCAGCGGATGACAAACGGTGCCATGAATGTGGAGATAGGGAACCCCACCTACAAAATGTACGAGGGGGAGCCTGACGATGATGTGGGGGAGCTGCTGGATGCGGACTTTGCCCTGGACCCTGACAAGGTGAGGAGGGGGGCCTCTGTGGCACAGAAGGGATATCAGCTGCTCGGGGTTCCATCCCGAAGTGGGGATGCAGGGGAGGTATATGCTGAAGTGGGGGGTAAGTTGCTGCAGCAGTTTTGGGGCTCCCTGGGGGCTGCTTTCTGCCCAGAGGAGCCCCCTCTGAGGGGTCATGAAGGCTTTGGGGTCAGAGGCTGGGGGGACAGATGGCCGCAGCCGTAGGGTCAGTGGTGCTGTGCCTGAAGGAGGTTGTGCCTGATGCAGGCTCTTGCTAAGGCACCCCAGGGCAAGGGACTGCTCTGTGGACCACTCTTCTGGGGAGGCAGATAGCCATGCCTCCTCCCACCTGCTCCCTCCTCTCCACAGCCCACCAACTTCACCAACCCCGTTTACGCCACGCTGTACATGGGTGCCCACAACAGCCGCAACTCGCTGGCTAGCACGGACGAGAAGCGGGAGCTGCTGTCACGGGGCGCAGATGATGACCTGGCAGACCCTCTGGCATAGGGGCAGGACAGGGGCAAAGGGCTCCTGGGCCAGGATGCCTAGGTCTGGCACAGACACCCATTGCAGGAGGCAGGCAGGGGCCGGGGGAGCCAAGATCCACTGTATAAATGTACAAATGAAGGATTATTACTTTTTTATGTGAGCAGTATTATTACCTGTATATTTCCCGGTACCAGGCCTTGGTGCCTCTCATTGCCAGATACGGCTTTGGTTTACTTTAAATCTCTACATCGGGCCCCTCTCCCTTCCTCTGCCACCCATGGGACAAGCTAGCAATTTGGAGCAGGGACAGTGCCCGGGTCAGTGTGCCAGAATGAACTTGCTGGGGCTGCTGCATCTGGGGCTGACAGGAGACACAGGGTTACTGGTTGGGGGGGGCGGGAGGGGGCAGGCATGAGGGAGGCAGAGTAGGGGCCGCATGTTCCCCAGCTCTCAGCTCTCTACCCTCCTGGCTCATGCAGTTCCTGTCTCCAGGGCCCCTGTTTCCTTGCCCCCAAATCTGCAGCTCCCTAGGTCCCCTCTTCTGCAACTTGGCCTCTGCAAATCTCCCTTGGTTCTCCTTTCCTCTCCCTGCCCACCTTTTTCCCCACTTATCTCCTCTCTTCCTCCTTGCTGTTCTTGGCTCTGCCCGACTGTTACAGGGAAAAGGGATGAAGACCCCCACTGCTGCTCTTGCAGTGCAGAGGGTCCCCATCCCTGGCAGGCCCAGCCCTGCGGCCCCACGCTCCGGCTTGCCGCCTGCACCTCGCCCACTCTCCAACATGCACATTTTTAAACAGGAAAAAAACACAACAAAAAAACCCAAAAAACAAAAACATGGAAATGACCTAGCTTTTATAGTAGAAATAAATAAACGCATGTGGGGGGGAGGGCAAAGGGCGACCCCATCCTTTTATTGGGGGAAATGTTTTAATAATTTTTGCTGGATTACTTTACAACTAAACAAAACAGATATTGTTATAAATAAAATTTTTAAAAACTGAAGTGCAGGCTGCTGGTTGGTGGGAAGACGTGTGGGGGAGGCAGGGGAAGCCAGGCCTCAGGTCACCAGGTACCGTGGCACCGACCCCCTTGAAGCCCCACGCGTGGTTTAAGGCAGGAGGATCCCACCGGGGCCATCGCCTTGTCCGGTGCTGCTGCGTATGTGCTCGGGGTGATGCACGCGCGTGTGTGTGACTGCTCCCTGACTGCCTCCCGGGACCCCCTGCTGTGGCTCCGCGTGGAAGAGGGGCCGGCGGCTCAGGTGCCCCCTCCTTCCCCTGCGCTGCAGGGCGCCAAAACACCCAACGGCCCCGGGCACCGAGCGTGGAGAACCCGGCACGGAGCACCGGCCCCGGGCACCA